ATAAAACTGGACACACATGAAGGCTTACGAGAGGATTGAAAATATGTTTCTATTCTTAACATAGTATTTGAGGATTTCTTAACATAACTGGGCTTAGTAGGAGAATTGGGATTAAACCTTTATATGGATTAGATGATGACTTTTATTATAGAAAAAATGGCACAGGTATACCAACTGGGCTTTTGCTAAAGGCAAGGACAGAACCTGAAGAAGAGCCGACATAGGCATTAAGTATGTTTTCTTTTGGACCGAAATTTGCTGGTCTGGCCTGTTTAAGTTTGGTCTGGTCTGGTCTGGTAAACGTCTGGTCTCTGTGTATTTTATAACTACAGAAGTCTGGTCTGGTTTGGTCTGGTCGTTTAAGTCTGGTCTGGTCTGGTCTGGTCTGTTTAAGCCTGGTCTGGGACTGAAAACAGTCCAAAAGAAAACATCCTAACACCTAATAAACATATACGTAGTATTTCGACTTATTTTAGATGGGTATGCCATTGACCAATGAATAACCTATCACTTTTGCTTTACATTTCTTTTTTTACACATTTTCTTATGTAGGAAAGTTACTATTTCTTAGACAAAAATATTATATGTTTAATATTTATTTAGAAATGAGACAGTCAACATCAATGATATAATTCTTTCATTAAAAGAAAATGATTATTTTCAGTTGGCCTACGAGTAGTATTCTTCCACTAGACTATTTCATTGTCTTGCTCGCATGGCTTTTACTATATGGCTTCCTTTTGTTCGACTTTTGGCTGTTGTGTTTTTTTTTGTATTCTAGGTTTCCCTCCCTTTTTCTTTTGTTGTATCATGTGGGGTATGCTCCGTGGACAGTTAGCTTAGGCTGATACAAAAAGATATATTTGTTCTTCCTCCAAGTTCACATCAAAATTTGATCTACTGTTCCATCCTAAGGTGGCTCCACATTGCATACTCTAAAGCTATCTATATAAACAAAACAGTCGAGTGAAGTCATATTCGAAAGGGAACTCAGGATATCTCCATTTATGCTATTGAAGCTAAATTTCATTTATGACAATAGTTATACACACCGTAATCATAGTTGTTAGATTGACGACAAATGTTAATGGTGTAAGACATTGAAAGAGTTTCCTTGTATCCTGATGCATTTGGCTTTGATTTCCTATAAATTGTATACTTCTTATAAGTTCATTATATGATGCATCCACAGTTATTTGTATGTGTGTAAGCGTACAGAAACAAAGCTCTTTAGAGATTTCATGTTTAAAACTCTTGATTATAGACTCTCGAGGAAAATATTGACATAAAACAATGCCATGAAACAAGAGTTAAACTGAAATATCTTTCAGTCTTTTATCTTTAAAATTTAAATACTCTTAAATTTTGTATCTTTTCATTCAAAGCAATTGGGTTGTTCTATTTGTAAGAGTATTGTATTGTTATCACGGTTATCCACAATCAATAGGTTGTGTTTGTAACTTAGATTGACCTTATATTCCAAAGCTTTGATTCAAATTCTCGAGACTTGCCAATACAACTCAACCCTTGATTGAAGATGAGGTGCTTAAATGACATACATTGCATACACTCATAGATTCATAAAAGAAGGATACAAAGCCGGTCATCTAAAACTTGCCACGAATTGCACTTATCTCATAATAATTTTCAATAAACTCCTTACTTTTTTAAATAAAATCCTTCCGTATTCCAATTAACTTTTCCAAATCCTTTTAGAATTTTAGACTTGCATAAAAAAATTAAAAGAAAAGTATGGGTTTTCAGGACCATGGGTTACACTAGATAACACAATTCAATCGTTTAATTAGTGTGGATTGGTACAAATAAATAATAAGTACTCTAATTCAAGTAGACATACACTCTTACGATGACATGGTAGAACATTATAGCCAACTGCAATATGTCTGTTGGCATTACTTTGCAAGGGAAAAATTCACTTGGTAAAACCTAAGTCATTGATAATTTGATTATTTAACTTGGTTGAAACGTAAAATCTAAGTCATTGATAATTTGATTATTTAACTTGGTTGAAACTCAAGTGTTGCTCGCTTCATTGCTATTGTTGATGGAAATACATTTTATTCCCCCGTCTCTTAAAACTTGATCAAGTTTGCCTGAAATGAGGATTAATAAAGTAAAAAAAATGTGAATGAGATTTGTGCAGAGGAAGGAGGATCAACATGAATCACAAATTGACTTAAAAAAGAAAGTAACAAAGTTAGTGAAACAACCACAAAAAAATGACAAAGTTTTAGTGATAGGAGTATTTTACAGGCTTATATTACATATAGGTACCTTTTTATATAGAGGATAATCTTGAAAATATTAATTCCATACTACAATTGTATATTTCAAAAAACCACATTCTTTAGAAGTGTCGGCTACATCCTTATCTTGGATTTAATATTTCATTATAAAAAATTTTATTCATCACTCTTGCCACTCAGGTAACTATAAAAGCAATAAGTAAATATTTGTATCACACAAATACATTGGGCACTAATCTAATCGTGCAACGCGCGTCAAAGTAACTGGTAATAAGATAATACGTAGTACTACCGTATATAACTATTCATGTCCGATTTTTTCATGAAGCGATAGTAGAGAGCTTCTAGGGCAGAGCCACCACTAGGTAATTTCCGATTTCGATATATCTTGATCGAAGTTCGGTTAGTGTTTCCCTAGTGATTCAATCGATGTATATCTTGATCGAAGTTCGGTTATAAATACTCGCGTAAGATTTTTACTTCACCGCCCTGGTGCGGCGTTTTCCTTCAATCGAGGCAGCACTGCGCCGGATTGACTTGGTTTGGACATAGCTTGGGATGGATGATCGTGGTAGCGAGAAGATGGTGGAAGAAGCGAGAGAGAGAAGTAGGGATGATCGGGACATGGTTAGCGTGGAAAGGCTGAACGCTCCATTCGATGGCATGTATTTGGGTCATACGGCGGCCGGGTACGCCACTGAAAGAGGGTATCAATCGAGCGACGGCCCGACCTCCGCCTGAACCACCACCATGGGCTGTACGAGGTGCTAGAGTCCGTGAAAGTTTTCCTAATAATTTTTACCGGTTTGTCATTTGTTTTCTTGTGTTTATCTTTGTTATTGGTTTTGACAATTTATTTGAGTTTTTAACCTCTCTTTATGTCATTGGGTATGATTGGATCTATGGGAACATGTTTGGCTATGTCAAGCCCACTACATGATTAGCGATTCGTGTTGCTCTTTCAGGGGTGACCGTCTCAAACTCTCACCATAGGGTTACAGTCGTAGTTGTTGGAGTTTCAGTTGGTGTCAGTTTTATTTTCCCTTTGATTAATGTAATGATTCTAAATCTTTTGATATGAATAGAGACATGTTTTGACGATAAAAAAATGTCCGATTTTTTCATGAATTGGTTGTTTGTATTTATCTAACCGAATATAAGGCAAAGTTCAATGAAATGGCCCGCAGAAATATGTGAAGCACAAATTATACATGAAATACTACGTAATAGATATGCAAATCCACTTCTAAAGTGTACTTGGACTATTTATAATTTAATATATACTAGTATAGTACTTGCACGAGATATGCAATTTCAATGTATAAAAACTAAAGCAAAATTTAATTAAATAAAAAACATCATTAAACATGTGAAATATTAAATATATTACAAATTTTAAAACACTTCCTTATATATAACATTTTTTGTTACATTAGTATCTCTATCATCCTTGTCACATATGATTTTCAGCCAAGTGCGATCAGTAACACGTGAAAGAAAGACATATAACAGATCATAACAAAAAAAAACAGTTTTTTCAAAACCACGCCAACATTGGATAATGATAGCAAGCAAAGGTGATAAACTTTGATCGATTATTTTATAAATATTTATAATAGACATATATTAGAAATACACTTTTTAAAAAAGAATAGACATATATTATCCTCTGACGTCTACTCATTCATGGCATTTAAGCATTTTACATTTTCAAGATACTTAGAAATAAGTTCATATTTTATCTCATATATATACTAGTGCACCTCGAAATATAAATATAGTCAATAAGTCATAAATTTAAAATGAGAAATAAATCAAACAACTACAATTTTGAAATTAAAAGTTCAAGTACTCAAAGTTCTAGAATAATGAAGATAAAAAACAATATTTTAAAAGTTCTAATACATATTTCCGTTAGAGCTATTAATTTCCAGTGATACTTAGAATTAGGGATAGGAGGATGAGTGCATTAGGAATGGACCTATTAATTGTGTATCACATAAAAGCAAGGTAAAATTATTTTTGGTTTTTCATTTTTAAAAATTTTATTATGTAAATTTTGAGTGTTTTTTATAGTTTTCTTGGAAGATTTTTTTTAAAAAAGTTGATACGGGTATCCGTTAGGATACGAGTATCCGAAATTTTAAAATAATTACCAAACACAATGGAAACTTTTAAAAATTGCAGATACGGCTCGGGAACGTACGGTATGGGTATCCTTGAGTATCGGATACGGGAACGTTTCCGATATGCCGATACGGCATCCTAGGCGGTCAAATGAATTTTTGAAGATAACTTGAAGATATATAGCTACCTTATGGTTGAACAGTGAAGTTTTTTCTCTTCTCCCCTGGATAATATCTACTCCGTAGATAATATTTTTACACCTAATCTTATTTACTGATTTATTGTTGTTCAAAAAGTTACATATCTTCAATGATTTGATCAAACAATATTATTGTCCAATAGTTTAATGACAAATTAATTTTGAACACCTAATACTTGATACATTTGAGTTTGAGCCTTATTTTTATTTTAATGATTTAATGAAGACCGAAAATAGGTGTTTATATATATATCTCAAATACCAACATGTATTATGTATATACCACCTAGCAGTTTAGTTCTTCTTTGGTTCTTTTCTTTGTGTCTTTCAAAAGTGTGTTTTACCTTTTTTTATTCAATTTTATATGGATTGAGCCTAATAATAAAGATAACAAAACTTGGTGAATTCTAGAAAAGAAACCTTCATTGAAAGAACAAAGAAGACCCATGTTGAATTTATCACACCGAAATATTGCCACTGAACAATAGTTGGTAACAAAAATTGTTATGTAATACGGAGCACGACGTACCACATAACCACGTACACCTGAGTGTTATAGTAATGGAGACTCAAAATCAACTGCATTACAATACTAACGTGTAAAAAATACAGATCACTTTTAAGAGGGATACTGGGTTTTCTTACTGAACTAATTATTGAAATAACGAAATAGAACTAATTATCAAGAACCAAATAGATCGAACTAGCAAAAAGGTAAACAACAAAACAAATTAAATAATTTAACAAGAATGCAACTTGTACACGCCAAATCAATTGTATATACACAAACAAAATACACTCGGCACGTAGGACGTGTACAAGTAGCATTTTTGAACAAATAACGGAAGCATTTAAACAAGTACTCGTCTTTCCATAACGATTAAATTTGACAAATAACAGTAACTTTAACCAAAGATATTTTCAATATGAAATTACTTAAAATATAAAAAATATAAGCAAATGTTATTTGATAAAAATACTTTTCTAAAAGTAAAAAAAAGTTACTGCATATAAATTTCAAACAAATATAATGATTAAAATCACTATCCTATTACTATCATTGACATAAAAAGCAATTTCACCAAATCTTACTGGACAAGATACTATTACTCATTTACTCATCTGGAGGGCCCCACCTGAAATCAACAAAAGCAGCCCCTCCACCAATGATTTGTCTATGGCATTGGGGAGAGTTTCTAGCAAGGGATGAAGCCGTGGCCTTGAAAATCAGATTGCCATCTTGGTCATATAGCTCAGCTTCAACCACAAGAGAAGAATTCCATGGGACAGCAACAATTGATCTGGTCAAAGGAATCCTCTGTCCAGAGTCAGACATGATTGGTTCAAGCTTGTCTTCTGAACCAATCCTGAGAAGGCAAGTCCAAGTATCAAATATGCACGACCGAGCATAAACATATCCATAGAAACTGCTAACCACTCTGTTACCATTCCTCAAGACCACATCAACGCTGGCCCATGAGCCACGGAATAAGCTAATATATGCAAGTACAGTTATGGGATTAGAACCAGTACCCCCAACCAATTGTCTTACAAGTATGGGATCACATGGATCCTCAGAGACAAACGTGGGGCTGTAGCGTATAACCTCTGTTGTCACTTCATCATCAGTCCCAAACACTTCTTTATTCTTAAAGGCCACACCATCCTCAAATAAATCCTTATTACCAATCTTGAGAGCAAAAAAAATACCATACATGTGATCTTCCTCCAGCAGGGGTCTGGGTTGAGGACCAGACAGGGGAACGAGGAAAAACTCCTTGCGGTAGGAAAGATTGAAAGGAACGGAGTCAGCCTCGCTCACCTTGAAATAGAATATCTGGGGAGAATCTGGGACTTCAAATGTCTGGTCGATTAGTCCAATTGAACCGTGGAGTTCGCCGGAGAAGGTAGATTCTGTGGCTTTGTTAAGCACGAGCTCAACTCTGTACAACTCAAACATGCTTTTTGGAGGTGTACTCCACAATTGGGAATCTTTCATCGTATTATGCAAAAACCTGGAACATCTTTGGGTCGCCGAGCAGCTGTCTGGCACATGATTAGTGAGCTTGTCTTGCTTTTCGGAATATCGCTCCACAATCTGACCACGTTGTTTATGGTCCTCGTAAAATTCCCAATCAGAATCGGAGTCATGAAGATCAACAATCACGTCTTCAAATTCTAATTCTAATGTTTCCTCCTCCCCCGCTTCTTCCGCATCTAACTTTCGTCGCTTAGACGTTTCTCCTTGGCCTACGCGTAGGGATGAGCATCTTTCCACGACCAACATCTTTTCTTCTTTCATATGCATGCCCTAATTGACAATCGAATGGAGAAACTTCTTTTTATGAACAGACTGTAGGAATTACGTCTTATTTTAAGTTGTTGAGTCGAACATGCCCCGATTTAAATAAGGAAGTATCTATAAAGGTATAAAGGCCGGGTTTTTTTTGTCCCTACATATTCCATACTAGCTTTTAAGCCTGTACATCATTTAGCTAATTTGAAATTTGATTTCTTTCGGATCATATGTAATGTGATTTAAAAGAAAAATAAATTTAGTCTAATATAGAGCCTGTTTGATAACACCAAAATAAATTGAATTAACTTATTTTACTCAAATTGATTAAATTATGACTGAATGAGCTAAATGAGTGGAATCATGAAAAAATATGTAAAATATATTCCATTTGTGAAGCCAGAAAAAGATTATATGAAAAATAGTTAAATTGTCTTCTACATAAGCATCTCGAGTAAATATAATTGTTATGAACCCGATTTTAAACGTTTAATATAATCTTATGAAGATGGATATTCATAGAAATTTAATACAGAGTATATATTAAGTAAAATAGTCTAAATATAGAGCCTGTTTTTTTTAACTGTAAGCCTAAACGTATAAACGTATACTATAACATTTAATTGTTATAATGGAATTAAAACGTATAATTCTTACACATAATTCTAAGCCTAAACGTATACTATAACATTTAATTGTTATAGAAATTAAAACGTATTATATTTTTGTCTAAGAATACCTGTCATATATAAACTTAGCCTAAAATAGAGCATGTTTAATATAGTACTTTCTACGGATTTTCGTTTCCATATCAATATGCAATCAAAAATAGAATCTAGCTAATAAAAATAGAAGGTAGAAATTAACTAAATAATTAATATATATATATATATATATATATATATATATATACACATATATATAATAACATGACAGGATTATGTGGCGCTTTGTATGCTCTTAAAAAAAATCAATATATATATATATATATATATATATATATATTGATTTTTTTTTGTTTTTTGATCACTCCATTCATTTCCATTTACCCCAGTACCGCAAAGGCTCCCACCTACGGTAGGGTAAGGGGGGGGTCGGATGTACGCAATCTTACCCCTATACTAAAGTACATGGAGACTCTTTCCGGATGCCCCATAGTGATCATTTTGATCACTCCGTATTTTGTTTTAAATTTCACAAAATAATTTCTCTTTATAAAAAATTATACGGAGTATTTGTTTTTTTACCCTAGGGGCGTCAGGGGAAGGGGTTTAGAAAGCCTGGGGTAAACTTGGATCAATCTCACTCTATTGATAATTGAACTTGGGACATTCCATAAGGGAGAGTGAGTCGGGGACCAGCTGAGCTGGACCGCTTCCTCATAAAAAATTATATTTGTTTACATAGAGATGCTCTAATGAGTCCCTCTTGGTGTACACACTTTTGTACACTGCCTGTGTAAAGGCAATTGGGAGACAAATCCTGCTTTTTTCTTAACGAACTTTATGTGTACACAAGAAATTATGGGGTGTACAAAAGTTTATACCGATTTTTTGTGCTCTAATTTGTACACACAAAAATATTGATAAAGTAGCCACCAAGTTTGTTATGACTTTTACCATCGTCGGACCTTTAGAAAAACTTTGATCAGGTCATCAAGTATGATGGTATTGCTGATGAGGTCAGCAAGTATGATGATATTGATGATGATCCTGCATGTATTTGGTGTGTATCTAAGATGTTTGCTTAAAAAGTCTCGTGACTTGAATTGGGTTATAGGTGTAATTTTACCTATATCTTTTTGTGTAACCAGTTATTCGTTAGGACCAAATAGGTTATTAAGCGGCAAAAATTCTAACATGTGTACCTGAAGCTATACATGTAATAGATCCTATTACATGCGGCTCATTCCAGTTTGACTCGTTTTTATAGTTTACACACTTTTGTTTTGCCCCTTGTTACTGCCATATTTATGTTAATGCACTTTTCAATGATACGTGAACAGGGATGATTTTGTTGCACTAAAACTGGATATGAGTAAGGCATATGATGGTTCACATGGGTTTTGATGATAAGTGGATCGGACGGATCATGGAGCGTATTTCTACTGTTAGCTACTGTGTTCAATTTGATAGATATTATTTGGGCCCAATTATTCCGGGACGGGGATATAAACTCGATCGAAAACATGTACTTTTCGATATTGCCTTCGAGAAAGCCTTTTCGATGTTGCTTTTCGATGAATCTTCGAGAACCTGTACTTCGAGAAGTTTGCTATCGAGAAACTCCCTGTCCAAAAGTCCCTATCTAAAACTTCCTATCGAGAAGTTGCTGTTCTATCGAGAAGTTGCTATCGAGAACCTGCAGTTCAAGAACCTCTTTTCAATATTGCCTTCGAGAACCTGCAGTTCGAGAAACCAATGCACTGCGAGAACTTTGCCTTCGAAATTCTAGTTCGAGAAACCTGCAAAGTTTTTCGCACTCAACTGCGACAAGTAGTTCTCGATATTCAACCTGTAAAAAATCCCAATAATATCGAAATCTAAAAAATCCAAACTAAGCAATTCCACACTGTTTTATCTGAAATGTTGATCGGAATCCTTCAGAAATTGCAGACTAGCGTCCAAAACAGGTCGATCAAAACAAAATTTGCAGAAATCAGATTTTCGAAATAAAAACTCTTCAACGTCAATGGCAAATACGAAAATGCAGAGATTCTTCAATCGATTTCACGTTCGGCTCTGATACCAATTGTTTGTCCCTATATCAACAATCAAACTAACAAGATAGATAGAGTAGAGAAGAAACGATGATCCGATTCAATACCAACAATGATATTCGAAATACAACTCTGGGTATCGAGAAAGGAAAATGCGACTCTCTCTGCATCTCTCTCTAGAATAATATGCGCTCTGAATAATAATGTGTAAAAGCCTCCCTGCACATTCCCTTAAAGGCAATATTTATATGCCTAGGGAATGTGTGATGTGACATAAGCATCATGATTGAGCTCTTTTATTGATTGGGCCCAATAGACACTGCACATTTCCTGATAAAGCTAATCTAATAATAGCTAACAAAGATCCCAATGGGCTAAAATATCTAGACAAAATAGCTACATAAATACAAAGATATTTATCAGGATTGGACACCATAAATACTCCTAACAGGCTCTAAGCTGGATCTGAAAGAGCTGAGGTGGAGGAGCTGGAAAGGCTTATGCAAGCCTAAAGAGGCGGGCGGATTGTGTTTGAGAAGACTAAGGGAATTTAATTTAGCCATATAAATACTTTTCGAACTCTTCTTTTGCAACGCAGAAGAAAAGAAACTTGAAGAGGTGTTGCCTCGATGCTAGCCCCGTCTTGACAAACAATAGTATTATCCCTAGTTGTTTTATCATCCTCAGTTATGGTCATGAAGGTAACCTCCCCTTTGCCTGCTCTTATGTAGCTCTATCCATACTTGCAAGAAATTCCTCACTCTCCAACAAATTTCTCTTAGAATTTTTCTCTCTCGAAAAGAGTAGTAACCTAAAGAATGCAAGTCTGCAAGGAAGAGCGGGGAGGAGATAGATTCCAGACAATGAATGTTCGTTTTCGTAGGAGTAGAACAAAAGCCTAAATCCAGGATAGTATGGATTTAGAAGAACAAGTCATCGGATCCCTGAGCACCTCCACTTTTGTTTGAATATGTTCATTCAAAAGGTTATCTAGCAGCTCCTTCTGGTTACTTAAGGTTGATTCAAAACGCCTAAATCCATCTCCTTATGTCCGTCTCACAAAATTGGCACTTTTCTGGATAGAAGAGGCATATGGCGGAAATAGTACTTCTTGTCAAGATGACTTAACAACACCAAGGCATTATAACATTTATGTTCCTCTTAGAGCAAAATGTGTTGGACTCAAAGTCCACGCTCGTTTGAGTCAACAATTTTTAACCTACTGTAAAGAAGTAAAAGTATTAAGTAAATGACACCATAATTTTTATAGTAGTTCAAGTAACGTGTTCCTTTAATCCACTGTTCCACCAATCTCTTTGTAAATGTTACAATGCTTAGTTCCCTAGCACTTCTTCAAGTTTAGTGTCCTTGTCATCGTGGATGCAATCATTGTGTCATGATGACTGGCCGTTTCACCGAACTTGCTTGAAGTATCACCACTTCACTTTGTTTACTTTGGTGCCCTTCTTTTTCAAGAAGCAAACTTATTTGTGTATTTAATTTAGTTATTGGGCCTTGCATTTACTTAGCCCATTTAGTATTTATTATGTACTTATTTAATTAATAATACGAAAGTGGTATGTCCCTTTTCTAACTGTCCGCTCACAATCTCGTGTATTGTTAGAGATGACACATGGATATTTGTATGTATCCCAAACTGGTTGAGTTGATCGGTAAGTTTGACTGAGCATTCCATTGTGTCCATACATTCTCAGAGAGAAGGCAGAACCAATGATATCATTCCGGTATTCAATTCAAGTAGAATCTTTTCTCTATTCTTGTTTTTGTATCTGACTGTTGGATAAATAGGGACTTTCAATTAGTATCAGAGTCATATGTGTATTGATTGAACTACCAGCAACTTTTCTGGACTCCATTTTTATGAACAATACCATGTTCGTAAAACTCACCTCACCATTAAATCTTCAACATTTTGCAAACTTTCTGTTTGCAAACTCTCATTTTGAGGTGTTGTATCAACTGGTATAAGCCTGAGGGTGCGAAAGTAAAGTTTTGAAAGAGTTTGAATTTTCGTAAAAGTGCAAAGCAATTTAGTGTTTGATTCGTGTCGTTTGTTCTACCCATTGTTTGGATTAGAATTCTTGATAAGAATTGTAGTTCTAAAAGATACAAATCTACGGAATTTTGAATCGTCTCATTTGATTAAGCCAATAAGAAGTTAAGAAATTAAAAATAAAAAAAAAAGTTAAGAAATTCATAAAAACGTAGTTTTCCTTAAAACTTGTGTTTTTGTAAAACTTTGTTTTTCGTTAAAGTCCAGTTTTCGTAAACCTCCGTTTTTCGCAAAACTCCGTTTTTGCGTAAAACTAATTTTTTTTTCCGTAAAACAGAGTTTTCGTAAAAGTGAGTTTTCGTATATAACTTTAATTTTTGTAAAACTACCGTTTTTTCGTAAAACTTTTGTT